ATTGCTTCTTGTTCTATCCCCAGAGGCCAAGATGAACAAGTTTTCTCCGTCCTTCTTAAGACACCCTTTTAGCAGAGCACACAAGTGCTGAACTATAACTCCCCTGCCATGTAATCTGAAGAAGACTATTGATAGTGCTGACTGGGAACCTTTTACTCGGGGCCTTGGCATTCACATAGGGGAGTTACCGTGCAGCACTTTGGTGCATATTGTTCTTCATCTCCTTGTAGTCGGAGCTACAGGTCAGTGCAGACAAGGCCTTAGAGTCACAGGATGGTGACTTCATTGTTTGTTTGTTTTTTCTCTGATTGTTTTGTGTCTTTAAAAAAATTAGGAAAATGTAAAACCAAAACCAATGGAGTTGTAGTACCAACTCCTTTGAACTTGCATTTGAATCAGTATAAGTTTCACTTCTGTGTTCCTTTAAGGCTTTAGTCTTTTTCCAGTTGAAGTCAATGACAAACTTCACATTGACTTCAAAGGGAACAGCATTGGTGGTTTGGTAGTTGGAGCAGCACTGTAAGTTTGGGATTTGGTATTTCTGCACGGGTACGTCTACACAGCAGGGATAAATTCAAGTTAAGCTATGCAACTTCAGCTACGTCAATTGTGTAGCTTACGTTGAAATAGCGTAATTTGTTTTTGAGCTGTCTAGGCAGCCGGGAGTCGAAGGAAGAACATTCCTGCATCGACTTTCCTTACTCCTCATGAAATGAGGATTACCATGAGTCAGAGTAAGAAATCCTCCAGCTCGACATTATGTCAAGATAAAGGCTTGTAGCGTAGATGCTCACTATGTTGCTTCAGAATAATGCTGTTGTGTATTCATACCCTATATGTGTATTTTATACCTGTGGCCATTACCAGAATAGTACCCATTCATATAGAACCTTTCCCTAGAATAGATTAAAAAAAAAGTACCATTACAATTTGTTGTGCCATTGTGCTGCATCGTCCTGCATTTTAAAATGTATTAATAGCTACTTAATTCTGCTCACAAAGATGATACATGATAATGCTAAAGGAGTTGGTGAGATGTATTGCACCAATGTTTAGTAATAGTATTTAATAAAGTACTTATTTGCAGTCAATTCCTTTTCTTTATTAGTTATGATTAAAGTTGGGATCATGCATAAAAATGTCTGAATATTCATCTGAATAAAACATTCAGTTGTTTCATCTGTGTTCATATTCTTTTACTGTTTATGATCCACAGATATTCTTGCAAAGGCTTTTTCTGGCTGAATGTTTGTGGGAACAGTAATGTTT